GAACTGGAAAGTGACCTGAGATGACATGATGTGAATTGGTGCTATAGAAATAAACTGAATTAATAAGAGCAAAAAGGAAAATGAAGTCATGATTATGACACGTGGGGCGCCTCATAACGTTCAATCTGCACATATAAATGTTTGTGGAAAGCAGTTTAGATGTATTTTAGATAACACAGGTCATATGAATATTTATTATATGTTGACAGAGAATAACCTTGATTATATAGAAAGACTCACTGACTGTTTTTCAAAAACTCCGACATAATACTTTTACTCTTTGTTTGTCGGCTGCATAAAAACCCAATAAAATAAAAAGCAGTTTGTTGTTTTAAGAGGTCAGAATGCTTTGGCAGAGTATAACTAGAAGGCTTAATGTTGCTCACCCTGAAGAACTCTTTAGTGGAGCCGGCGTCTAGCGTCCCATAAGCGATCTCCGTCTGCTTAGCCAGGTCCTCAGCGCTCTCTATAGGAGACACCATCCTCTCCACGGTCAGGAAAGCAGCCAGGTTGGCAGTATAGGACGAGATGATGATAAGGGTGAAGAACCACCAGACGCCACCAACGATACGACCTGAAAGAGACCTAGACACAGAGACACAGGATGCTGTTGGTCAGGCTTAGTGAGCGTGCTGTATATGCAGGTAATCATGAAGAGGAATCTCAAAAGCCTTGTGATGTTCACACCATCCAAATGACCTACATTGCTTCACACCGTCTCTGCACTCACACACATCCTTCATCCCAGCAGGCTCCTGGAGAGTTTAGCCCAATCTGCTGAGGAAAGATAACCGGTCCCACAAAAGCCCACTCAGCCTCCTGCCTGCCAAATTAATCTCGCTTTAAGAAAGTTGCCAATATGTTTAATGGAAGTGCCCACTTTAATTGTTTGGAATTAATAAGCAAAGGAGAACACTTAACCGCTGCTCTAATTACACTTTTGAAAAAACAAACTGGAACTGAGATGAAGTAAATCCTCCTTTTTTCTTTCATGCTCGCAGAAAACCAGAATGAGTGTCTGATTTGTTTTTTTCTGGTTGAGGCTCATATGTGGATTAAAATAGCTGAGAATTGGCATTAGGCTCTGATTTTATCCTTTATAATATTTTGTTTTTTATTAGGGCTTTTTTAGTTGTTATCTTAATCATTTTGGTTCTTTGTAATATGCAACTCTACTTTGGTTCTGCAGGACACTTTATGACTTTATAAAGTGTTGGTTAGCTTTTAGCTTTTAGCTAAATTATATCCTGTTTAAAGTTTAAATGAAATGGAAAAAAGGTAACATTATCACTGGAAAAACAATCTAGAAATAAGTGAAAAATCTCTTAAATTTAGTGTATTTACCCTTACTTTGAGTAGTTAAATGAGATAGTTTGCAAATGAAATGAGTATTTTTTACTCTTAAAATAAGATAATTAGATAATATGCAGTTGAAATAAGATAATCCAATTGTTTTTTCATATTATTATGTGTAAATTGTCTTGTTCGATTGGCAAAATGTCTGTTTTACCTCCTCAATCCAAGAACAAATGCACTTATTTAAAGAAAAAATGACTTATCTACAGTAGACTTCGATTTTTTTCCAGTGATAGCATAACATTACAGAAAGTTATGAGCAGATAAACGGAAAGTAACTGAATTAATTATTTGTTAGAGCTGGTATAAATGCTAATTGTTTGATGGTTGTTTCTTTTCTTTCGTGAAAAGGTACAAAATTACAAAAAGCAGAAAAAGACGAATGATTCAAAAGGATCAAACTGGAAAAAAAACCTAGATAAGTCCTTTTTTTCTTAAAATAAGTGCATTTGTTCTTGGATTGAGGAGGTAAAACAGACATTTTGCCAATTGAACAAGAAAATTTACACTTAATATAAGAAAACACAATTGCATTGTCTTATTTCAACTGCATATTATCTAATTATCTTATTTTAAGAATAAAAATACTCATTCTATTAGCAAATCTTTTCATTTACCTACTCAAATTAAGGGTAAATACACTTTATTTGAGAAATTTTTACTTATTTCTAGATGGTTTTTCCAGTGCTGCTATAAAAGTATATGTGATTAAATTAGTTAACCTATTTGATGACCAAAAAGAAAATTGACTGCAATCAAATCATTTACCGGATTCCCCCTAAAAGTAAAAAAAAACAGTAAAAGTAAAAGTCTGCTAAAGTAAGAAATGGTTTTATTCAGTTTTTAATGGTCAAACTAATTGATTTAATCCTATTTTTCTCTATTGTATTTGGG